CAGGGCACAATTGGCTTTCTGGGCTGCAAGCGTGCACTGACGGCTCATGCCAAGTCCTTTTCTTCAGGGCTGCTCTCAAGCCAATCACTGCTCAGCCTATATTGGTGCTTGAGATTGCCCCGACCCAGATGGAAGACCTTGCATTTGGTCTTGTTGAACTTCATGAGGTTAGCATAAGCCCACTTCGCCAGTATCTCTCTGTGTATAACAGAGAGATACTTTTTACCAGGGCCTGTAGTGATGGGACAAGGGGTAGGGTTTTTAAAGTGAAATAGAGTAGATTTAGATTAGAAATAAAGGAGATTTTTTCTTTTTTTTTCTGATGAGAGTGATGATATTCTGGAAGAGGCTGCCCTGGAAGTCTTATATGCCCCATCAATGGCAGTGTTCAAGGCCAGGTTGGCTGAGTCTTTGAGCAGCCTGACAGAGTGGAGGATGTCCCTGCCCATGGCAGGGGGTTTCAACTACATGATCTCTTCCAACCCAAACTATTCTGTGGTTCTACAGTAGTGATAACTAACAAAACACTACATAACAGCACATTGTGTAAATGAAGCCGCATTCTGTGAATAGAACATATCTGAATTTAACTTTGTTAAATACAACGTGAATTAAGAGGTTGATATGATGGATTTAGGTCTGGAATTCAAAACTGGCAATTCAGGCTTGGTTGCATTTGTGTTGCTGGCATTTGGGGATGTCAGTTGTAGATCTTGGTGCCAGCAGTATCTTTGGACGTTGTTAGCAATTGGGGACTAATTTTCAGGTGGTTTCTTTTAAGCATTCTGTTGCCTGTTTGAGAACTGCAGCTTACTGCAGCTGTGAATGTCCATCCACTCAGGAGGGTGGTGCTGTGGATTCCCTCCTGCAGGGCTAAGGTGACTGTAGGTTGCTGTTGAGATACGGGCTGCTACAGGAACTGCTGATCCAACACTTTGCCCAGGAGTTAGTGGATCAGGTGTCCTGCATACTGCTGCGCAGGAGGACAACGTAATACTGTGTGTAGATACCAGAACTGGAGTTCAAGTTTCATTATAAGGAATCCATGTAAGTAAAAGCATCTTAATATATGAAAGCATTTACTTTTGGGGGCAAAGCTATAATTTTTACTTACAAATGAAAGCATCAGCATACTCCAGCTCCTCATTTGTTGGCCTCGCAAACTTGTTCATATATGCCTAGAGTCAGTTTGAGTTGGCCAGCCCAGACCTAGCAGGCAAGCTGTGGTGCTAGAGGGTGGTTTGGTGATGGCTCATTGCCAGGATACTGCTGCTCAGCAGGCATTTACTGGTGCCTGGTGGTCTGGGCTACTCTGGGTGATGTAACGCTCTCTACATACTGTGGTGCTAGATCTACCGTTACTTGATTTTTACCTTAGCTTTTCTGAGAACTTGGCTGCTAAACTGTTTGCGAATTTACTTTTTTATTTTTACTTAGTGATACACAAGCATGTCATCTATCTGGAAAAACAAAGTAAATGACTTCCAACTTAAATGTCTGTACTTGGATGAAAGAAATCTTTTTATTGTACATAAAGCACAAAGTTTGACAGCTTTGCAGAAATTAAAGCATAATCTTATAATTTACTTTTCGGTATAATTGCATAGCATCAACAGAAAGGCTTAGTAGTGTTCCCTCTCCTCTGTAAACTCAGTATTGCTAAATCTAGCCATTCAAGATGCAGCATGGGCACCTTGACAGAGGCTGAGATGTGAGCTGCTGCCACTTCGTGGCGAGCATCACTGGATACCAGATACTGCCGCATAGTTTAGCATAACATTGTTCCCAGGGCCTGAGACCTCAAGCAGTTGCCTTTATTTCATGTTCCTAAAAGAGGCTCCACCTGCAGGGGAGTCTGCTCTGGGTTTTTCTCCTCCTTTGGAAGCTGCTGTAACCCTTCTGCCACTTGAATCATCCTTGACCGCTGGACCTCGTTACTTATTCCTTCTTCCCTTCCAGTGATCTACTCTTTCGCTTGGCCTCCTTCTTTCTGTGCCCTGTTTCTGCGTGTTTTGTTTGCTGTACTCCTGCTTAGCCCTTAGCATGTGCTCTTGTACCACTGTCAATGTCAGCTGCAGCAGCTGCCTTCTCTGTAGGTCCTTAGTCTGGCAACCAGACGGCTGTGTAGGTTTATAGTGTGGAACCCAGCTCGAAAGGAGAGCTTACCAGAACACACACCACACCAACCACTGCGTTTAACTGGTCAGCTTCTGCGCTTTAAGTGCCATACATCGTTCTCCATCGTGCTCTGGCTGCAAAGTCCGGGAGAAGTCTTTGCTGTGCTTTTTTTCCCTAATGTTAACGCATTTCAAAGAAGTGTAATAGGGTACAAGTTTCTGATCCTGTCCCCTCTCTCCACCCACCTCTGCATGTTGCCATTAAACAAACCTCTTAAAGCTGAGTTGTTTTTCTAATAATTTGCAGACCAGAAGACTGGTCTACCACAGGTTCTCTGTGTGGGTGGATTCCTGCATTTCTAAAGATCTGTTGTGTGGCTACTGGGTTTCGTTGCGTGTTTTGTAGTATAAACTCAGTTGTGGGATTTGAGCTTCTGTGAGCAATGGCTCCCACTAGAGCCCTTTGGAGTTTGCTGAGGTTTGAGAGAGGATTGGACGCCTTCTGTGTGCTTTGCTTTTTCTGCTGCTTGGAGCAAATAATGAGCATCTTGAAAGCAGAGCCGTTCCCAGTGTACTTTGATACCACATAGGGTAAGGCAAGAGGAGCAACTGTGAGCTCTTGAGGTTGACTGTTTTGTTGACTGTTCTTGTTCTCCCACTTCTTTTACAGGAAAATGCCCAAGAAAGGAGGGAAGCATGCTGAAATGGGAAAAGAAATACAGTGTAAACGAGCAAAGGTGGAAGCAGATTGTTCTCCGTCAGTCATGAGTTTTGAGAACCCAGACAGCCTCTTTGGAAGCTTGATCTCTCCCATCAAACAGGAGGTGTTTTTCGGGGAGTACTGGGAGCAAAAGCCACTCCTTCTTCAGAGAAATGATCCCCTGCTGGCCGCCTACTACCAGTCCCTGTTCCAGTTGTCCGATTTGAAGGAACTGTGCAGCCAGGGTCTGTACTATGGGCGAGATATCAATATCTGCAGATGCGTGAATGGAAAAAAGAAAGTTTTAAATAAAGAAGGCAAAGTGAATTACATGCAGCTGAAGAAGGATTTTGACCAGAAAAAGGCAACAATACAGTTTCATCAGCCTCAGAGATTTAAGGTTGGATCGTTTCATTGAATATAATTAATGCATGCTTTATACTGTGGTGTACTTTGCTTGAGTCACGCTAGGCATAGCTTCATCTTTGTCCCCAGTAAATCCAGGGGAAATAGCACACGGTGATGACCTGCTGAAATCCATATGTGACCTGTATTAATTAAAACATCATTTATACTTTTGCACTGCCTGTGCTCTGCAGTAAGAACAAAATCTGGCTCATGCTCTGATATTAAGTATTCTTTAAAAAAAATGCTTTGTAAGATGAGAGTTTAGAAAAACATAAATGCACAAAATTGATGATTGTGCATCTGTGTCTGCTTATATTAGCCCTTCTGCCCCACTGTTCCCTTATGCAAATAGGGGCTTTTGTACCAGTTTCCTTTAATGGAGGGCAAGGTGTGAAACCATGTGAAATATTTCCAGGATGCTCCACTGTTCTTGCCAGTGGACTGGCTTTGGATCGCACTGTGGAAACGTACCACCTCATTTTAGCTGAGCATCCTCTCTCTCTCTTGTTCATTTTGGCACCTCTGCAATCTTGTATGAGAATGAGGCAGTGGTGTCTGTGCAGTGGTGTCTGCACAGCCGTGTAAAGAACTCAGACTTGTAGGTACTTGGCTTTAGGTAGTCCCCCCCCCTTTTTTTTTTTTGTCCCACAGTGTCAACACAATTTTATTGTGAAAAGGTCTGAAAGCACCCAGGTACGCAGCTGACTCCCAAGTGTAGTGTCGCTGGGAAGCAGCTGGTCTTTCTCATCTGCTTGCGTAGTGTCGCTGAGCTCAGTTTGAGTTTATCTGTAACAGCCAGGGGCCAGGGCATCTGCAGCCGACGGTGAAATGTTGCATGGCGTAGACTGAAATCTAGAGCTTGAGCTGAACCTATATAAATTCTGGCTGAAGTTGCGCAGGCCTGGTGGTTGGCATCTTTTAATAGGAGAGTCATCCCTGCGGTGTACTGTCTGTCACACGTTAGAAGTGGCTGAGTAAAGTTTGTTCCTGGACATGCCCAAGCAATTGGAGTCACTGGGAGAAGGTCTCCAAGCTTTGTATGCTCTCTCTGGTGTTAGCCCGTGTAATGCAAGTCCTGCGTGTGTTGTCTTAAGATGTTTTGCTGTTGGTAGGATGGTGGGGGGCTTATTTTCCTCTGTCTAGCCTTGCTCCTCTGTTTTTGCAACCTGAAGATGGTACAGGGAAGAGAACAAACATGAAGACTGTGCTGTTGGACCAGGCTCCTTGGCTTATTGATTTCCTTCACAGCCGATCTCCTTTGTGTCTCCAGTGCTTGCTTTCAGGAGAAATGCTCGTACAGAGTGCCTGCCTCCCCAGCCTCTGTCTCCCTGTGGGGAGATGTCATCATTCCCTAGAAAAACTTTCCAAGTGATGGGAAGGCTGTGGGGCTGGACAACAGCCTGAGCTGTGCAATAGTAACAGTATTATTTCTTTTAAAAGGAGGAGCTGTGGAAAATTCAGGAGAAGCTGGAGTGCTACTTTGGGTCTCTGGTTGGGTCGAATGTTTACATTACTCCGCAGGGGTCGCAGGGCCTTCCCCCTCACTACGATGACGTTGAGGTAGGACAGCACAACCTTGGCGGTGACACTGCGTGGGGGCTTTTGCTGGTGGCAATAGACGTCTGTACATGCACTTCCCCCCCCACCCTCTCTCTCATAAAATAACATACTGTAGAATGGTTTTTTCCACTGACAACTTAGGATAATTAAGTTGTTTTTATACATTGTATGGTTGTATATGTTGTATAGTTGTTTTTCTTTAATTTTACTGAAAAGGTACTAAAAGTGGTATCTAATGGTGTTGTTACACGAAGTTTGCTCTCCAGACCTGGTATTTCCATTACATGAAAACAGGATTTGTTTTTGCAGCTGCAGAAGCTTTCTAGCACCTTTTTTTTTTTTTCATTTTTACTTCATTCAGACCCCCAAGAATCTAGAAGTCCTCTTTCTTTTACTAATTACTTGCCCTTTCTTCAGCTGGGCAGTGAAAGCACGCTGGTGGTGCTGGTTCCTGTTGGTTTTTTTCTTATTCTTGGTCCTACTGTTTTTAAGAAGTTATATTGGTGTGGTCCAACTGCACTTTAAATTAACTTGTAAAAGAAACATTCAAATAGATAACTGCATTAAAAGAAAAGTTGGGCTATCCCACTTAAACCAAACAACCCCCCCACCCCTTTACAAGTATTTTTTGTGTTTTATGGTTTTCTTTTCCATTAAATATTCATTTCCATTAAAGTTCTTTACCCTGAGGATGCTGAGGTTGCATCCATCCCTGAAAGTGTTCAAGGCTAGGTTGGATGGAACACTGAGCAACCTGATCTAGTGGGAGATGTTGGAACTAGATGATCTTTGAGGTCCCTTCCACCCCAAATCATTCTATGATTTGAAATACACCTGGAGCTTTATTTTTCCTTATGTTTGCTGTTGAGCCGCCCCACAACCTACATGTTCTGGTATATGCCATCAAGCCACAGCTCACAGCATGCCCTAGATGTTTCTGATGTCTGTCTGGTAGTGAATGGTGACAAGACCTCTCTCACGTGATATTTTGAATATTTGTGTGGCAGACCTTACTTTTGAATTAGTTGTCTAGCACTTATTTAAGTGACTTGAGAGAAACAGGCATTTCGAAATGCCTGCCTTAGGATAAAACAGATCACACTTCCTAGCTCATCTCTGTTGTCTCTAAGTAGAGCCTTAATAAATAGTTCAGGTGTAAATTTCTGCATTGTAGAGATGTAAAAAGTAACGTGAGAGGAATCCTGTTTGCCATGGCTGTGGAGTAGCTGGGAGCAGTGAAGTTGAAATTTATGTCTTCTGTTGTCAGAAAAGCAACCTGTGTCACTTCTGTTTGCATTCTATCCCCGTCTTCCAGCATCTCTATCCCAGGCTTTCCACTTAAAATGACTTAAAATTTCAGTTGGATATATGAGAAGCAGCAAGACTTCCTTAACGTGTTTGGATTTATGGTCTTTTGCAGGTGTTTATTCTCCAGCTAGAAGGTGAGAAACATTGGCGACTCTATAAACCAACAGTGCATTTAGCTCGGGAATATAATGTTGAATCAGAAGATAGGATTGGGAATCCCACACACGAATTCATATTAAAGGTATTATAATGGAATTGCTTTACATGGTCCGGACTATCATTGCCGTGAAAGTAGTCATGTTTAGAACAGTCCATTTCTTGAAGATAGTATTCTGAATGATTGTTGTTGTGAAATTAAGGGGAAGGGCTGGTGTGCAAAGCACTGTGAGTGTGAGGGATTTGGGTGGTAGTTGTCTAACCTATCTTTTTTCAAAGTATCCTTTCCTTTAGTATTTGAATAATGAATCAAGAAGCTAGTTGTTTCTGGAAGTTCTTCAAGTTGGGCACCCTGACTCTTGGATCGTGTTTGTGGAATTTTGTGCAGAAAAAGCGCAGGGTTTAGATATGACTATGAAACATTTTTATGCTTTTACGCTTTTACAAGGCCAGTCCTTCTGTGCACTGAGACTTACTTCTTTACTGAAGGGCATTGCTGTTTTGGTGAATTAGATTTAAATATTTAACCCTTGGCTGATGAACATGATAAGCATGAACTATACCTCACATTAACTTGCTGTTTTAATTGTTTTTTTCTTTTTCCCAACCTGAAAAGCAATGTGGGGCTGTGAGGGTTTTTTTATGTTATTTGGAATAAAAAGAACATTTCATGAAGATTAACCAATGCAGCCCCTTTGACAGCAGGGCATCTGGTACTTGTCCCACTCTGTTTTACGCGCTTGTGCTTTTGAAGCGTGTTATTTATCCCGTGGACAGCCCTGCTCTGTGTTGGAAGCCTCATTAGTTTCTCTGCCTCGTGACCTCTTTCTGCAAGGTCTCTGCTCTCCCCAATGTTTGGACCTTCCTTTGGGTGTAGTTAGATGAGGGCTGGTATGACGGGCTGGGTGTGACGCTGCCATCACAAGCTGTGTAGTTTGGCAGGTGGTAGTATTCAGCTGTCACGATCCAATGGGTGATGCAAAGTCTAATATATTACAGTTCCCTTTTTATTTTTTGTGACATTTTGGGCTAGACTTCAGTGCCTTTGATTTTTATGGCATATTGGTGTATTCCTCAAGCCATTATATTAATATTAACGGAGTGAAAATACTGGCCTCTGAAAAGGGCTTAACTAAATTTTTATTTTATTTTTCTTCTGTTTGATGTTCTTCTTGTACCCATTTCTTCTGGGTGGCCACTGCCAGATTTTGGTTGTCCATCAGGAGCTGCCTCTGGCCGGGATTGCTGTCAGATAACTCTTATTTCCTCCCTAAACATCTTTCTGGAATATTTGTCCTTTTCTGCATTTCTGTCTGCCATGCTTGGGCAATTTAGAACTGTGGACCAGTTAGAGACTGTAGTGATGGTGTTCCCCCTTCCTCCCAAAAACTGGTAGCTGTTTAAGAACAAAGGCATGTGGCTGGTTTGTGTTGAAGGTCCCAAGCTGCTGAGTGCCTTGGTGATGCAGACGCAGTGACGGGCCGTGGCTGTGCCTGGTTTGTGACCTGATATCGAGCACAGAGCTTATTTGGCAGCTGGCTATCTGGCCACCTTCATGTGTGTTTTTCCATTTAAGTTGGTGGACTTTCTCCTTTGTCTACCTCTCCTTCTGCCAGTTTGGGACTAAGAAGGCAGCACAATGATCAGATCTGCATTGTCTCTTGTCAAATGCTCCATCTTGCTGCCACTGATTGGGATCTGGGTGTTGACACCTGGCATCTGTGAATATTCTGATTATTTTAATTGAGGATTGTTGTGCTTGCTGGCTCAGGTGTATGATGTTGATGAGACTACCCAGCAGAGAAGATGAATAAGAGTTGGACTTTGGAGTAAAGGCTGGTTTGAAAAAATCATGATCCCGGCTTCTTAGTGGTAGGCACAGGGTGCTACAGCTTGGGATAATTTCTTTTTCAGACTAGTTTGACGTCGCTCTTACCCTTTGCCTATGTTTCTCCCTCCAGTGTCTTTTCTTGCTGGGGCAGTGAAATGTAGCAGATGAGAATTCAAAATTCTCTTAGCTGGTTAGTGTGCTCTCTGCCTGGGTAAAGAAGGCGGATTATTAATGGCAGAGAGGCTTGCTTCGAAACAAGTAAATCGTACGTAGCTGCTGATCTGTGTTGCTTTACAGCTTGTTATAAATGGATGAAGAGACTTGATCTTGCCAAGTCTGATAATTGAAGCCTGATAATTGAAAGAGGCCTTTCAATTCAGTGAAAAATCAGGTAGTATTCACTTGAAATATATCTGTGCTAGGCAGTTTGGTAGGCTCTTAGAAGTAGGCGATGTGACCCAATTTAAGGAATGGTATTAAAACTTCATCATTGTTGCCTTGTGAATTTTCCCATTGATTGTCCTAACCAACCATATAGATGTTTATAGGAGAAGCTGTGAGTAAACTGACTTCCTTCTTGGAGGCAATTTTGTGTGCTTTGCACTTCTCTCTTATCTTGACATTCCTAATCTATCCATGTGAAGATTTAATTTAGATAGAGGAGAAGAAAGATAGGGAGGAAAAAGATTGTATTTGTTTTTTAAGTGTTTTAACTGAAAATTTCAGACAACACTGTTGTAACAGATGACTGTGTAGAATATTTGTCTTTTCTTGTGAAGTACTGGGTTTTTTGATGTGATCTGACCAAATCCTCATTGCACTGCTCCTCTGGTAGCCTGCTGTACTGTCGGCAGGTTCATCTCAGCTGCTTCTTGTCCCCTCTGTGCAGCCGAGTTGGTGGGTGTGTGTTCTAGAGTGTTAAAAGCTTGCTTCATATTTTCAGGCAGGTGTAAATATTGACAGTAGGAAAGTTGGAAAGTTTAAAGTATTGGACTTCTGGCTTAGAGTGCTTTATATTATTAAAGTGGAGGATCTTTCTGGTTTTGTGATTTAAAAACACACATGTTGTCAATCTGTCTACTTAAAGAGTATTTTCTCTATTTTGACTACAATAACGTTTGTCCAGATGCTTTAAATATATAAAGTTTCTATCATTTTCTTGCAGCCAGGTGACTTACTCTACTTCCCAAGAGGGACTATTCACCAAGCTGACACTCCTCTTGGGGTCTCCTATTCTACACATGTGACCATCAGTACCTACCAAAACAAGTAATTATTCTTCACTTTTTTTTTTTAGTATGACTTTTCTGAAAATGGCTTTCCTCTGCCAGATAATTTGTGTGAGTAGTACAGAACGTAAATGGATGCTTCAAAAACTTGAAAATTCTGTTTAGCCCTTGTGTGGTTTGGTTTTCTATAATACTGGGATTGGACCTGTCACCTTCCCCTCAGACGTGTGGTGACATGGAATATATTTAGGCATCCCACTACTAGATACATGCCCTGCTGTTAGTCACAGAATCTAGTGTTCAGGTCACACTAATTCAAGTTTTAGGGTTTAGGTAAAAGAGGAAAAAGAGACTCTTGTTGTTTGAAGCAGTCTTTTTACCAGGTTTTCATGCAGCAAGCTTGATTGCTTTTTAATTGATTATTTTATTATTTATGAACTATAGACTTTTAATGTGGAAGATAATGCTACAACTGCAAACTCACTGTTGTGTTCAGAAAAAATCTCTTAACGGTGACTGAAGTTACTGTTAATGTCATAACCCAGACAGTCACGAGTTACTCGTCATATTTTCTCCTACATTTGAAAGTCCCCACACTTGTTCTGTCGCTGCAAATTCTTTCTTCGCAAATTTTTTAAGCTTATCTGTGTTTTTCATGCCCTACCCCATGCATGCAAGCCAGATTTCCTTTGACACACATCTGATCCGTGTGCCCACCCAAGCATTGTCATCCCACAGGGAAATGCTGCTGCCACCTCATCAGCCTCTTGGATGCTGGGTTTGGAGTCACTGGCCTCAGTTAGGAGTTGGGAAGGATTTCTGTTAGCCACAAAACAGGGTGGAACGAGTTTGGGTGTGTTCTGAAGGAGTGTAAGATGGATCTCTAACTGCCAGCTGTACCATTCTGGAAGCTCGGGATGTCAGTGCTGCTGCTAACTCTTCATGTGGCCAGTCCTCCAAGTTGGAGTGATAAGATGAAGCTGCTCTAAAGTGCAAGTCTTCATAAAAGTTGAGTTCAGCTGGTTTTATTTCACACTTAGATTCTATTTTTTTATTGAAGGTTAAAAAAAAAGGAAACTATTTTCTGTAAGGATAGAGTATTTGACTTAATTTGTTGTGCAGGAGGTACTACTAGGGCTGAGCCGCTTTGGCAAATTTGATAGCACATTCAGGGTGATCAGCAGTGACTGACCTCCAGAGAGATGCCTGCTGCTCCTCCTTTCCCTGCCTTCTGTGTCCCACCGCCACACTTAGGTTCTATTTTTTTATTGAAGGTTAAAAAAAAGGAAGCTATTTTCTGTAAGCACGGATAGAGTTGGATAGAGTATTTGACTTAATTTGTTGTGCAGGAGGTACTACTAGGGCTGAGCCGCTTTGGCAAATTTGATAGCACATTCAGGGTGATCAGCAGTGACTGACCTCCAAAGAGATGCCTGCTGCTCCTCCTTTCCCTGCCTTCTGTGTCCCACCGCTTCCTTGTGCTGACCTGCCGCTTCTCTCACCCCTGGCTTAGTGAGCAGGCCAGACAGAAGAGCGGCACTGGAAGTGCGTGTCTGGCTTGTTGATGGAGGCTGGGCTGGGGTGGTGTGTTTACAGACCCATGTGCAAGAGTCCTCCCGCAGGCACAGAACACAGTTTGTCTGGCTTGATCTGGTCAGAGTTACTGGTGAAGTGGTGCTGGGGAGACAAGAATTCTGTTCCTTGTAACAAGGTAGCTGGAGACCTGAGAGGCTTCTGTGCCAGTGCAGTTTCTCTGTGACTGCGTAAGCCAGTGAGTCGAGTGAAGCAGTGATGTCAGGGACCAAGTTCCCTGGGCCCTTGTGTCAGAATGTGGAGAAGAAGAAGGACAGGCTTGAAGAGTGCTGTTCTTTTAATGCTGAGAAGTAGAATCATCTGTTAAAGTTATTGGTAGTGAAACGTTAAGAGCCTGCTTCTGCACCTGCTTTTTTCAGCAAGTATAGGTAAAATAAGCAGCAGTCCCGATGCTGGCTGGTGTTTTGATTTGGCTTGTAGAAGCTAGTGAGGACACACGTACAGCTGAGCTGGAATTGGAGCTTTGCATTTCCAGCTTTGATATTAGTTATCTGGTTTATTTCAGTAAAACTATTTTAGTATGTTTTTTTTTTTTCTTCCTGTCCTTCAGTTCTTGGGGAGATTTCTTACTGGATGCAATTCCGGGCCTTGTGTTTGATACAGCAAAAGAAGATGTGGTGCTGCGGACAAGCATACCAAGGCAACTGCTTATGGTAAATAGGTGGGACTAAAGGAATAATAGTGCATCCAGCTCAAACTTCAGCACTGAAGCAAGCATGTGACTTGTTGATCTGCTCTGAGAGCTCGGTGCAATGCTACTATGTTGTCTAGCAGCACCACTGCTGCGTTGGAAGTCTTCAGCCTGACTTCTTCTGAGATTTGCTCCATCTGAAATTTTCTAGTTCATGGTACTGCCTTTCTTTCATATCACAGTGTCCTTGTATGACTTGTTTCCTTCTGAAAAAAAAAAAAGGTAATTGCTTTGGAGCTGTCAGAAGCGGCATAGTTCCCGTCAGGCCAAGCTCTTGAATCTTTAAGTTGGCAAAGCTGTGAACAGTTTTGTGACCTTTTCATGGTAGTCAAGTTGTGCTGCTGCTGAGCTCATGAGCATGTGGAAGGAACCAAGAGCAACACCTGCAAAGTAGCCCCAGAGCGAGGGAAAGTGAGCATCAGCTTTGATGTGTGAAGAGCCTGGGGGGAGTGTGTAAAAGAAACAAAGTTTGTTGTTTCAGGAGTATATGTTGCCCTTTGCAAAGATGACAGGTGTCCAGATTCTCACTGCACCTCTTTGTCTCTAGACTAGTCGGTTTAGCTTGAATTCATGGGAAAGCAACTCTGTGAATATTTAGCAGGTGGATATGGCTGATGCAACAAAAAAACTGAGTAACCTTTTGAGAAGGCTCGCAGACCGTCTGGAGAGCACTAAAGAACTGAGATCATCTGACATGAAGAAGGATTTCATTATGAACCGGTTGCCGCCTTTCTTGGGATGTGACTCTGATTCTTTGACTCCAGGTAGAGTTTTGAAGTTACCAAAACTGGCCATGTGATGGTAGAGCTGTTGCTAACTCTGCCTCTTGCAACTTTGTTCTTTTATGGTAGAAGAAGGTTATAGTCTAGTGTGCTAGACTCTGTGTGTGCAGCTGCATTCCCCGTATCTGGTGGAAGAGATGACATGTTTCTCTCAGAGTGAAATAAAGATTATCCTAGACTGAAATTGTCAGCTTTAATAAACTACTGTGTACTGAGACTATTGAACTGGTGGAATTTATTCTTATGCTCTAGCTTGTTATTACAGCTATTTGTAGACTGTAAAGGTGAGAGAATTAAAAAAAAAATTTCTCTCCCCCCAAGTTTGAGAACAACAAAAAAAATCAAGCCGCAATAGTGGGTAGTGGACAGAGGGCTTGATTTACTCTGTTTGTCTGATTTCCTTCTTTTCTAATGGAGAATTTCTTCCTCAGGTGGGAAATTGCCAAAAATAGATAGCAAAATCAGACTGCAATTTAGAGATCATGCTATCATTACAGTGGAACCAGATCAAGAGAGTTCTGTAAGTATAACAAATCCACTGTCGGTGAGAAGCGCAAAGTGTGTGCGTTGTTGCTCTGTCGTACCAGCCTAAATGGGTCATACAGTTGTACTTCCTTGGATCCTGCATCCCATTTGGGGTTGCTGGGAGATCTTGGGGCTATTTTCGGGCGGTAACATGGCACATTCTTGTCTTCTGGAGGGGAGCTACAGAACTAAATTTAGTCTTGATTCTGCCTGGTAGTGCCTGGCTTTTATCTGAGGGTAGATGGGTAGATCATTATAGCTGCTAAATGACCTATATAGCTCTTCATCATGGGTTTATTTATTTTTTATTCTTTGTATTAAAGAGCATGAATAAGTTATAAAAATACGTTCCCTCAAGAGAGGGTGTGTTTGTGGTTGCAGCTGCTACTGACTGTGGTTGCATTTACTTCCAAGTTACCTTTGTACCTAAGTGGGTGTCAGTGGCACTACTAAGTTGTTCCACAAAATAGATGCTGGCATCTTGGATTATGTTATGTTCAGACTACTTCATATCTATGAAGGTTTATTTCTAGGAAATTTTAGAAGTGTTTTTGTTGTCTTAATTAAAAAAAAAGGGGATGGGGGGAGTGGGGAATCGGATGGAACAGAACAGTGGCACAGATTGTCTTGTATAGGTTTTATTTTTGCATGAGTAAAGTGTTTCCTTCCAAGAAAAACATACTGTAACTTTCTGATTTTATCTTCTCCACTATGTCCATATTGCTGTGAGACTGTAGGTTTTGGAAACCTTTTTTGTTTTTTTTTGCTGCCTTGCCTTCTGATGACACATTAAACCCTGACTGTCAGCATATGTGAACCTTGTGACCACAAATGTGGTGTGAGACCTGCCCATAGAGCTCTGAATTCCTTTGCACTGCTTTGACCCAGGAATGGTCAAATGATTTTTAAGAGCCAGGTCAGTATCAGAATGGCAATTTATTGATGCACATTCCTTCATTAAGACATTCGAGGAGGTGCACCTTAAATGCTGTGTTTCCTATACAGCATCAGCCCTGTGAGTCTAGTAGCGGCAGTATTAAGGAAGAATATTACAGGCAGTAAATAAATTTTCCAAAATGTTTTGGAGCCTCCCCCCCTTTTTTTTTCTTTTGTTATGGTAGATGGCTGATGGATCATTCGGTTATGAAAGTGAATTGCTTTCGTTGATGGAACAGTGGATGCCAGAATTAAGGTGCTAACATTCACCTGAGGTAAATCTGAGGGTGTGGATCGTATGTAAGTGCTTTCTTGCTGCTGTCTTTTAGGATGAAGTCCGCAGAGAGATGGTTTATGTGTATCATTCTTTGAAGAACAGGAGAGAAACTCACATGATGGGGGCAGAAGATGACAGTACTACCGAGGAAGGCCTAACACAGGTTTGTTCCCACAAGCACACAGCAAAAGCTGTGTTGCCATGGTGGGGTTTGTTAGACTGAGGTGGTAGCAGGGGCTTGGGTTCTGCTGTGTTCCTGAGCACTCAGAGCATTTTTACCCATGCCCTAAGTACCCAGATGAGCCAAGGCTGCAATGCAGAGTCAATTAGTAGTAGAACTAGCATAATCTCACGCTTAATTAAATGTTTGTGATGGTAACAGGATTTCTTACGCATGCCTTGTTCTCACTAGCAAAGCTGCTGGACTGGCCAGCAGCGTCTCTTACTTCTGTATCCCCTTGAGCACATCCTTTATTCAAGCTCCTGGCTGTGCCAGCACATGTTCTATAGGAGCAGGGGTCGCTGTAGCTCATGTGCCACATTTGTGTTGTGCTGAACCCACGTTATGTCCTGTGTGTGTCCTCTGGACTGTGCTGCACGATGAGGGTGTTCATTTTGGGGGAGGTGGGTCAGCATTGGGAAATAAAGGATTTTAACTCTCTCATCTGAAATGCAAGGAGGGAGCTTCTTTGTGTACTGTTAATAAGGCTGCAGGTTGTTCATCTCCATTCTTACTCAGCACATACAGTGTGCTTTCGCTTCAATCACAAATACTCCTGAAGAGTGGCTGCTGAGTGTTGGAACTTCTTGTCCCACTTTAGGATAGCAAGACACTTGATTCTGCGACCTGAAACACTTGAATACAGCTCTGGGAAAGGAGCACGTGCCTGCTGCTGAGTACCTATAGCCTAACACTATTGTGTAATAAGGGACTCTGCACTTAAGGATTTTTTTTTTTTTCAATTTTTTTATTTTTTTCCCCTCAGCAGACTCATGGACTGCGATTTCCGTTGTCATACTTGGATGCACTGAAGCAGATCTGGAGTAGCAGCACTGTTAATGTTAAAGAGCTTAACCTTGCTTCAGCTGATGAGAAAGAAAACCTCGCCTTGTCCCTGTGGACTGAATGTCTAATTGAAGTTATCTGATGATTTTTTGTGAACTAACTGCTCCTGTAAGTAGTATTTGTGGCCATTAAGAACCTCTTGAGAGAAAAGCAATAGTAAATTACTTTTTTTAATCCATCCGGCCTTTGGTTTGTGTTGCTGTCTAACAAAGCCAAATGTTAATTTTCTTTCCTTAGCTTTGGGAAACCAAGTGTTAGGAAAAAAACAGTACGTTGCTAATTGTCCTATGAGCCACAGCTCTGGCTGGGGATAGGTGAAGTCCCTCATAGTAATGCCTGTGCTGTGGTATCCCCATTCCTCTGGATCTGGGCCTCAATGTGTAAGACATCTAAAGGTATAGACATGGAGTAGACTCCAGGACCTTGGGTGTTTTTTTTTCATTTGTAAAGCTCAGCAGCAAGAAAACACATTTGTTCTGTTCATTTGCCCAGAGAGAGCAAAAGCCTTCTCAGTAAAAGCTGTGTCTGTTGTTTCCTAAAGGAGTAAGACTTTGTCCGAGCAAAGCCCTTTCCTCTCAGATACTGCCCCTACTGGAATAAACAAACAACAGTATTTAACCTCCATGGCCCCCAGCACCCATTTAATGTAGAAGTAATCCAAACCTGTAACCGCAACCACTATCTTTAATGCTCCCTTGAGTGGGTTTGGATGGGAGCAGTGCAGTTATTTTAAGGCTTGAACACCGATATTTCATCTGTAAACTAATGTAACGGCACAGTCACCTATTCAATATACTTAGCCTTCTTTGTCCATTTGAAAGTAAATATTTTATAGGAATGTGCTTTACATCTGCTAAAAATTACTGTTGTATTTAGTAGGGCGTTTTTTTTTTTCAAAAAAAAGAAACCAACAAGCAAAATGTTTGTCCTGAAAAAGGTTTTATACAATTAAAATATACATGCTTAGCTGTTTACATTCAGGATCTCTGTAGTACAAAAGCCTGCCTTTGTTATGTAACACTGACACACCAGATATGATTTAGTCATTCTTGGTTTAAAAGACTAGAACTTTAAATGCATGCAGGCTTTTTAAAATTTCATATGGAAAACAAATCACATGGAGAAGTCTTGAGATACCGATTTATATTAAAACAAAGCTAAACAAGTGCTTTAGTTGGAAAAATATATACATACATTTGCAGATTTATTGCTTAAACAGCAGATGTATGATAATTTTAAAATGTAAAATAGCAAGTGCAAGTAGATAGATAGTGTTGGGGTTTTTTTTAAATAGAACTATATAGAACTCCATTTCGTACAAAAATAGACATCCATATATTTTATTTCTGTGGCAAACATAGGGTTACGTAGTTTTATTTGTTTGGGGATGAATCCTGTTTGAATGCACAACAGGAATAATTACAGCTTTTGGAAACTAAAGTATCTGTCTTTCACTAACTTGAACTCATTTAAATAGTTATAGAAATATATATCCTGAATATACAAATAAGAAAAAAATATATATTTGCAGCAAAGTAGATTAATTTAGCGATGCCGAAATCAAATGAAGTTACTGATGAGTTCGGGGATTCCTCTTCCGCCTGGGGTGTTCACAGACCTGCAGGTGCCCGCAGTCCCAGCTCTGGTGGTCAGTGTTGGGTGAGGAACAGGCTTTTCGAGCCTGCAACAACCTCAGCGCAGTAAAGGCGTCTGGCTCCATCGGGCTGAGGTGAGAGCTCGTGGGTCAGTTGCATCGCGCCAAAACAGAGGAGAGCATGAGGTGTGCCAGAGCTGGCACTGTGGGTCTCGGCCCTCACCCTTGCTGCTCGTGAGCCACAGAACTGTTAACGCACAGTTACGCTGTTCTTTTAACACTGAGTAAAGGCTGAAATGCAGGCTGCTAGCACCTTCGGAAATAGATACTAGGGTGAATTATTTTCTGAAGGAAGACGTGGTTTCAAGACCTAATTACATTGTATTAAATTAATCTATATACATCAGAAGGAAATATATAGCTAGAGTTAAAATCGTTACTGCTCTAAATGCAGCTAGCCCTTCTAGACGCCTAGCCTGACCCAGGACTATTTATTCTCTTTGGAGACATGCACATATGGCTCCATGTTTAAGGTGATCTCCAGTGATAACAATTTCATGGGTTGGAAATGAGCCATAGGACAGTAAAAACAGTTCCTGAATCTGGAAATTTGTTACAGTTAAACTAACCTAAGACAACGGCCTACCAGTAACATTAGCGGGGTGAAAGTCAGGCTTCTGTTGTTGCCTCATTTCACATGCTGGGCTGGTAATTCCAGTTGAAGGTTGTGTTTACAAATAAAATAAATTGCATTTTATAGCAAGATACATGATTTGAGCTCCAAAATCATGTGAAGCCTAGAACAGTTTCACTTGGGACACAAATGTCCAACTCAACCTCTTTCAAGGTCATCAGTGCACTCCTTCTTCAGGGAGCTTCCATCCAGCTGAGAGGAAGGCAAAGATAACATCTCTAAAGAGCCTTTCCCGCGTTAACTCTCACAGTTCGTGTCCTCCAAAACCTACCTCTAGTCTTCTGTGTTTACTTTTAATACTTCACAGGAAGAGGAACAGTGACTTTCACAGTCACATTAAAGAATCTGCTTCCCTGCAGAAAGACATGAGATCTTCCAGATTTGTGCACAGGTTGGTTGTTTTAAGAGTTGGTGCTTGCCATGAAGGAAAACAGGAGAGTTGCTGCTTATGGTTCCAGTGGTGTGTGACTTCAGTAGTTGTGGGTGTGTGTTTTTTCCTCCTGTAGATGTTAATAACCCACACAGGGTTCATCTGTGTGGTAGGTTTTACTCACAATATTTCAATGTCCCATTTTTGTGAATGTTTGTCATCTATTGGATGATTCATAATGATGTGATTCTTGTCATAATAATTTCCTCCTTGAAAACAAAACAAAATCATTGAAGAAAATATTTAAAAAGAAACACTCAGAAAAGTCTGTGCATAATTTTTAGGAACCGTGACTGATTAGGAAAATGAACTGAAAACTAAAAAGTCCATGAGGTAAGGGGCTGGTGTCTGCCTCTGCTTTTGTATGTCTGTCTTCTTCAGGTGGTCACTTGCCAGCTTAGGCCCTGAGGAGCTCCACTGGTTAGGAAGCAGAATGTGCTGCATACTGGAGTCCTCAGATGTACCTTTGTACACTGAGACAGCACTTGTAAAGAGATTTTGCTTTTGGCAGACACTGAGCTCCTGCTGTGTGTTTGCATTTTTACGGGGCATATTGCTACAGTAAAAGTACACAGCATCACAGATACATGTCAGGTTATTTCGTGTAGCGTATCCATTTCAACCACAAATTTACAAAGTCCTTAAAAGTTCTCTCCTTTGAATACAGAGAGCATAAAAATAATACTACATATTTTTTTATCATTATACCATTAAAAAAAGTGTTCTATAGAGCTACTAAGTGGTATCTCACCACCCCAGCCATCAAGATTGTATTTTCACAGAATCACAGAATGTCAGGGGTTGGAAGGGACCTTGAAAGATCATCTAGTCCAACCCCCCCGCCAGAGCAGGATCACCTACAGTAGGTCACACAGGAACGCGTCCAGGTGGGTTTTGAATGTCTCCAGAGAAGGAGCCTCCACAACCTCCCCAG